ATGCCTTGTGTTACCATGAAATGGCATTTCTCTCAATTGAGCACTAGATTGACTTCCTTACATCTTATCAATACCCTTTCTAGGTTTATCAGACACAAATTAAACGAGTCACCATATATAGAGAAGTCATCCATGAACACTTTCAAAAATTTCTCAGCAATGTCACTAAACAAACTCATCATGCACTTTTGGAATGTTGTAGGAGCGTTACAAAGTCCAAATGACATCCTTTTGAATGCAAAGGTGCCAACGGGGCGTGTCAATGTTGTTTTCTCCTGGTCATCTAGTGCTATCTCGATTTTATTATACCCAAAATACCCATCTAGGAAATAGTAGAATTCATAACCTGTAATTCTCTCTAAGACTTGATCCAAAAAGGGAAGAGAAAAATGGTATTTTCTAGTTACCAAATTGAGTTTTTGATAGTCTATACACATCCACCACCCTATGATAACTCAAGTCGGTACTAGTTCTTTAGCATCATTTTTTACCATTGTGACCTCAGACTTCTTGGGCATAACTTGGGTTGGGCTAACACATTTGCTATCAGAGATGACAATGATTATTCCTACATCTAATAGTTTGAGCACCTCAGTTCTCACAACTTACTTCATGTGAGGGTTCAGTCGTTGATGCATTTGACAAGAGGGTTTTGAATCCTCTTCAATGTATATAGCATGATTGTAGATTAACATACTTATACCCTTTCAAGTTAGCGATGGTCCACCTAATGGTACTTTTATGGCATCTAAGAACTTTAATCAGCTTAGACTCTCGCAAGTTTGCAAGCTTAGATGAAATTACCACTAGGTATGACTCATCCTCCCCTATGAATGCATATTTGAGGTCAGATGGGAGAGGTTTTAGTTCTAGTTTTGGTGGCTTGGTACTTGATAATAGTGGCTTTTTGCCACTTGGTGAGATTTCTTCGAATTTGGGTGCCCATGTCCCAACAGTATGAGCAGGGCAATTCTTTGGATTTTGAGCATCATCTGTTGTCCTAGATGTGATTGACTCCAACAGAGAAGATTCAATAGGGTTTTCAAAAAATGTGTTATTCAGATGTTCCTGTATCAGAGACTCAATGAAATTTATTTCTCTCACTTCCTTGGTGTCTCCTGGGTGCTTGGCAAAATTGAAAATATTCAGGTCAAGAGTCATATTCCCAAAAGTTAATTTCATGACTCCATTCCTGCAATTGATTAGTGCATTTGATGTTGCTAGGAAGGGTCGACGAAGAATGACAAGAATTTGATTCTCTAAATGCATTTCTAGCTGAGTATCTAGAACAATGAAGTCAACAGGGAAGACAAAGTTGTTCACTTGGACAAGTACATCTTCAACAATGCCCCTAGGAACTTTGACAAATCTGTCTGCTAACTGGAGTGTGACGTAGGTGGGTTTGAGTTCACCCAGACCCAACTGTTGGTAGATATAGAAAGGGAGCAAATTGACATTGACTTCAAGATCTAATAGTGCTTGTTTTATTTTGAAATTTTCCAATGACACATGCCATAGTTGGACACCCCAGATCCTTGTATTCTGGAGGGGTTTTGTGTTGAAGTAGCACACTGACTTATTTTATCAAAAAGGCTCTTTTTTGAACATTCTGGCTTTTTTTGATTGTGCACAAGTCTTTAAAAAACTCGGCATAAGATGGAACCTGCTTGATTGCATGCAGAAGTGGAATATTGATCTTTACTTACTTAAAAAACTCATAAATTTCTGGCTGGTTATTCAACTTCTGTACTATTCTGAGTATATGAGGAAAAGGAGCAGGAATAGGATACGGAGCAGGAATAGGATACGAAGGTTCTATTTCTTTAACGATTCCAGTTCCTATTTAATCATAGGTTCAGACTCTTTTTCAATCACAAGTTTAGGCTCGACTGGTGCATTGACTGTGATTAACTCAGGTTTTGGCTTTGAAATTAATATGTCTCTGATGGTTTTGTCAATCACCTTGCCACTTCTCAATGTAGTGACAAATTGGGCTTAGTCTTATGGGTTTTTCATGATTGAAGAATTTCCTACATGAAATTGGTCTTGCAGTTGTTTCGGTTGGGCAGGAAACTTGCCCTTCTCATGTGTGGTCATAGATTGAGTCAACTTTTATATGTGGCTTTTCAGATCCTCGAAAGACTGAGTGGTCTGGGTTTTGAAATCAGTAAAAACCTGAGTGGAACTATTGTTGTAGTTTATTTGACTTTGCATGAACTAATTCAGTGTGTCCTTGAGGCTCCCCTTTTGTGGTGGTTGGTATGGTTGATATGCAGGAGGTCCTTGAGGTGGTGGTTATGAACCTTGTTGTGGGTTCATGGGAGTTGATTGTGTGTTCCTCCAACTAAAGTTTGAGTGATTCTGCCACCCTGGATTGTATGTTTCAGAATATGGGTTGGAGTAAGGCTTGTTGAAGTTGGAAACTCCATTTGTTTGTTCCAACAAGACTTCTTTGAATGTCGGAATGGTAGGACACTCCCTAGTAAGGTGTCCTATCTACACACAAATCCCACACACTGATTATGTGGGAGGGCCGACATTAACTTGATATACCTTTTTCATCTCTAGAGCTTCTAGCTTTCAAGACAATGTAGTCATTTTCGGTCTCAGGTCATCATCATTTTTCAAGACATACTTACCCCCTTGGGAAGTGGATGGTTTGGCTTCAACAGTGGTAGGAGAGGTTGAGTCCCACATATGAGAACTATCATATATGGTCTCAAAAAAATTGAATGCCTCCTCCGGACTTTTTCCCATGAACTCGCCTTGAGCCATCATTTTGACAAACTGAAGTAGTCTAGTGGGCAAGAGTTATAGAAAAATCCTACCAAACTCCAATTCTGAAAAGCATGGTGTGGGCAGGACTACAGTAGATCCTTGAATCTCTCCCAACGTTGGTAAAAGGTTTCTCCTTCTTTAATCAAAAAATTCATGATTTGCCTTTTGAGTGCATTAGTTCAGTGTATAGGAAAAAAATTTCTGGGAAATTCATTTTATAATGCCTGCCAGTTAGGTATTGAATGAGCTTTCAAAGAATTTAGTCATTGTTTAGGTTTGTCCTTTAAAGAGAAAGGAAAAAATTTTAACTTGGCTAGTTCATAATTGTTTTGAAATGTTCCACATACTTCCTAAAAGTATTTTATGTGCATATATGGGTTTTTTGATTCGAGTCCATGAAATTGAGGTAGTAGTTGAATTGTCCCGGCCTTTACATTCAATAGGGGCATATTTTTAGGAAACACAAAACAAGAGGGGACACTGTTTTGTGTGGGATGCAAATAGTTTCGCATAGTTCGAATATTATGAACTTCCCCCTCTCTCATAGGAACTTCCCCTTCTCTCCTATTATTTTCCATGCTATTCTCAAAAGAGTCTGCTACTAATCTGGGTAAAGATGGTCCAGACTGATTTACATATCCTACAAATTCTTCTGGCAAATTTTGAAAGTGAGGATCGTCCTCAGACATAAAATAAGAATTATACACAATAAATCAAAAATATATATAGAAAAATGAAGGTCTTTTCACCTTTTGCTTTAAAACACCTTTAAGAATTATCTAAAATGTGTAAACCCAAGAGTAGGCGGTCAAGTTGTAGTAATGATCCAATTAAGTCCAGAGTCGAATCCATAGGGTACTAATGTTGGTGTTTCGAAGTAAGCAGTGATAGAGACCAAAGTGACTGGAACCCTTCAGATTTAAAGTTGTGATATTTAGGGATTTTCCTAGACAAAATATAAAATTATTTCTAAGAGGATTTTCTAGACAAAATATAATAGAATCTCAAATGTAACATTCACCCTTTAGCTCGAGGCTCTGGACATGTAGTCAATCATCCGATTGTTACACTTGTGCTTGGAAACCAAATTAACCCCTATGTCAACATGAGGTTAATCGGAAGATAAAGATGGATTGTGAGAATTAAATGTCTTTGTAGAGGTTTACAAGAATTGTCTATACAAGGCATCCAACCATTGCGTTAGTATTTCATTCTTAGGTGAAGCACAATAATGGTGAAGATTGAAATGTAGTAATGAAGATCTAGCTCAGGTACTTGCCTAGAACCTGAGTCTTTCTATGTCATAGAAAAGACTCATGGTTGTACAAAGGACCTTAGTTTTTCTTGATGCATTCAATCATTCAATAAACAAGTGAAATATAAAGTATTAAGCATAAACGAAATGCTCAAATATAACTTCTGAATGATTTATACATGTCCATCACCTCTTACTAAAGAGTGAATGAGAAACTACTCACTCCTCATGGCTTTGGTAAAGCTAGAAAAGTGAGTGATTATCATCCCTCCAAGTAGAGGAGTTACAAGGTAAAACACACTACACAAGGAGCCGATCTTCGACGAAGAATAATTGAATCATGTTCCACTCTTCACGGCTTTGGTAAACCTCTAGAAAAGTGGAAGAGTTTCACTCCTCTAAGGAAAGAAGGAAGCTCAATCAATGAAAGAAAATGAAACTAATAATTAAAGTAGAAGAAAGCTAGTCACTTTTGGAGGGTTTCCACCTCAACCAAAAGTTGATCTATCGTCCCTCTATGCAAGTAACTCTACAACTAGCTCTACCTCTAAGTGTATGTCTTAAAGCTCCCACAATGGGAGTATTTATTGGCAAGGAGGATGGGGCAAGGAAGTGTGAAGGAATAGTACAAGGTCTTCAAAGTCCAAGTGAAAGCCCCAAGGCCCAAATAGAAATTCAACCACTCTTCAGCCTGTCTGGGGACAACGTTCGAACGTTGAATGGCATTCAAACGTTGTCTCATTTCTTTTCTTATTGACATTCGAATGCTCAACGGATTTTTAACGTTCGAACGTTGATGTCCTTGCTTTGAACTTCTCCAACTCTCTTCCAAAACATGTGTGGTTGCTTGAAAGTTTGGTATGCATTGAATTTAGGCTTTTGTGCAACTTTGTCCTAAAATTTCATCATTTAAACTCTATGAATGCATAATTAGTCTTGTAAAAGCATAATAAGATGCTAATTTTAGCTATTCATCACCCAGCTCGTCTGGGCCAGGCCCAGTTGAGTCATCCCTAAGCCCAGCCTCTTTGGCGTCGCCTCCCCCTTTGGCATCGCCATCCTTTGCCAAAGCAACATCACCTAGTGTATCCTCATCTTTAATAGTGTTGCCTAGTGCAATAACCACTCTGACGATGTTGCCTGATGTGCCTGGGTAGTTGCTGGCGCTGTCATCCACCACTCCATCACCGTCCTCGCCTACTTGGGTGGCATCACCTGCCTGGATGGTGCTGCCTACCACCGATCCTGTGTCACCCATCCCCAAGCTGCCTCACCTGAAGCTCCCTACCTGCCTTTTTACACGATCACTGAAGGTCTCGCCCACATCGAAGGAGCCCAGCGGCTAGTCTCTATCTCCAATGGTGCTACCTAGCGCCTCTCTGCCCCCACTAGCCCTGCCCCAGTCCCTATTTCTGCTGACATTGCCCTTTGCTTCACCCATAGCATCACCTACTTTCATCTATTCGGAGAATGGGGTTTTGCTTGATTTCACAATGGGACTCTTCTCCATGGAACTGCCTATGGAATCCTTTTTTGATGTTTTTCCCACCGGTCTCCATGGTTTCACCTTTTTTTGGTTTTTGGTTGTTTGGGAATTGGAAGACCTCAAGCTGACAAATCAAAAGAAAACTTTGAATAATTGAAAATGGAGAAGACTAATGGTTTATGTACATAGACCTTTTTAACCCCTAGAAATGGTGATCTAAATGAATAAGATGTTTCTCATGGTGAAAGGGAAAAGTATCTTTAGACTTCATGAAAGACTAGGCAGACTGGACAAAATGCTAAAACGATGGTCATCTATCCATTCTGTTACCCAATGAGAAAAGAAATTTTGTAATAGCATGGAGATGAAGAGTTGAGTGGACTGCCATAGGGAACAAGAAAAATTTTGCTCATCCAAATGAGGAAGACACTCATGCCCTCAACCCCCTTCTCTTGCAAGTAATCGGAGGCTTAGGGCATAGGGGACAAATGATGAGCCCATATTCAACTGGGTCAATCCGAATAAGTCAAGTAAGCCCAAATTAGCTAAAAAGCATGTCAAGTGCAGTTCGGGAATTTGAATCAACCCAAGAACCAAGGACTTCAAGAATAATTAGAGCACGTAGGGAGCAATTATCGAAATACTCCCCCTCGAAGATCAAGACAACCTTTTATGACACTTACCTTTTGTAGTGACCTAGAGAATTAGTACCTTTGACCTCACGTCACCACCTTAACAAGGCTCCGTGCCTATAAATTGTAAGCTCTCTCTACATGAGAGGACACCCTCTTTACATCTCTTGATATCTCTCTGCGCCTCTCTACACACCCATACATAGTTTTCTTTCTCCTAGCTATTGTATTCCTCCCAGAGCTAACCATTGCTCTATCTCATTTACCTTACTTTATCAATGAAGGTCCCTTGACCACCATTGCCGTTTTCCAGAGTGGAGTAGGTCACTTGGGCCAAACCACTATATATATGTGTGTTAATCTGATATTTATATTATTGTCATTGATTGCTCTATTAATTGTCCATTAACTACACTTTATCAAACACATGACTGTTGATCTTACATGAGACTAGTTGGTGCATCATCATAAAGTACAATATGTAAAAAATTTTGGAAAAATAGGAGAGATGTGTGCCACACTAATCAAAATGTATAGCCTTTTGTATATCTTTGAAGTCATTTCTTAAACCTAATACCCTTGGCCAGGTTATAGCCCTGATAAATTCCTTTTTGATTCCAGAAGTCATGCATATGTATTATTTTCACCTATTCATTAAAAAGGGAGAATGTTGATAATGTTGCTTGATGTAGTGTTAATATTTCTGTAAGGTTGCATTTTCATAAATAAGCAATATAATGCATGTTGGATCCTCGAATTGAAGAGTATCTTTTATCATTGATTATCGAAAGTTTTAGTTAAGAATTTATTTGATAATTCTAAGTTCACACCAAAAGCTTTTCCATTGCACACTACACACATGATAATTTTATCTTGATCTGTTTTGAGTACCAACAATTAGCTCCCTGTGGGTTCAACCTCAGACTTAAACCGAGAAATACTACAATTTAACCACTTATACTTGGGTATATAATTTACTTCAGGACAGATAAACTTCCCTTTATTCCACTTCAATAATACTGGCGGTAAAGATCATGGTACATCTTCGTGCCACCTGGATGCAAAAAAATTGAGAGTAATTCAACTCCCTGAGAATCTCCTCTATCAAATCTGGAGACTAGGGAACCATATTTCTTCCCCTATACCGAAGACTACCATCTGCGAGAATGGCTCAACCCTAATTACCGTAATGGCTAATTACCGTTTTGCCATTTTTAAGTAAAATTTTATGGGTTTTACAACCTTGACCAAATAAAATGATACCAGATAAAATAAGAAATCAGCGTCCCCTTATAAGCGAAAATGCCCAAGCTCTTTAGATGGGATTACTAATGCTATATCACTTAAGGGAATACCTACCATATACCGACATGATTGAATTTTTGAGCTGCACCTTCATTGGAGTACCTCTCATGACTGAATAAGATTGTGTTTTAGAGCAATTCTTTTTGTGGAGCACCTGTCACATAAAAGATGTCTAACAACGGAGTACCTCTCGCGAGTAAATAAGATTAAACTTTAGAGCTGCTCTTTTTGTGGAATGCTTGCCACATGAAAGACCTAGCTTGGGCAACCCACCTCAAGATGGAGGGTGGCATTCATTTGTAGCTCACCTGTAAACATAAAATTGAAAAACATAAACTTAGATGGATGCATAAGCCTCTGTTAAGGTAGAACAACTCAAGTGAGGGCATATGGCCAACCACGTATGCCTTTTCCAAGGCAAAGGAAAAAGTCATAAGAATGAAGTTATAGGTAAAAGACCAAAGATGGCTCAGGCATAAGCCAACTTACAGCTAAGGCAGGGAGAAAAAAATCCTGACAGAGGCAGGGCCCTAGCTCAAGTGCAGCCATCCGATCAAAGTTAAACCCATGGCTAGGCACAACGGTGGAAGCCAAATGGGTAAAGTTTGAAGACCGATTAAATCAACAGATTGCTGTAAGGGTCCCAATAAGTGACCAAGAACTAATGCCCAAACCCTTCAATGAGGTAGGTCCTCTTGGCTACGGGAAAAAGGCCATGATTGAAATAATTCTAAGTATTGAATACACGAGCCCTTCATTGAACTAGGACCTCCTTGTAGGGGAAAGGAACACAAAAAAAATGTCTTTTCATATGGAATGATAAAAGGCAATTAATGAGAGAAAGGAATGTAAATAGAGAATGTCTCCCAGTGTGCCACAAGGAAAATATTCTCCAGGGGCAAGTGAAGGGGTTAATAATTTTCTATCATCATCTGACAATTGGACTAGGACACATGGTAGGGTGCCCATGCTAAAAAGAGTTATTTGGAATGACTCTACTATGACCGAGCTCAGGATAAGATTCAACCAAGCATATAGCTAGGCTATCTCGATCGACCTAAAGTAGGTCCGATGGAGCAAAGGACAAGATTCGATCGAGCAGTTAGCTTGGCTATCTCAGCCGAGCTGAAGTAGGTTTGGCTAAGTTAAGAATAAGATCCGAATAAACATGTAGCTAGGCTATCCCGACCGAGCTAAAGTGGGTCCATCCGAGCAAAGGATAAGATTTTAGTGAGTAGATAGCTAGGCTATCTAGAACAATCAGAGGCAGTGTTAGACAGCCAATAAGGAAAATTGCCTAAATCATAGTAACACTTAATTAACATGTGATCTAAATCAACTAATGAGAAAGGAAATCTTGTAAGGTTTAAACGCGAATAAAAGAAAGTCTGACTTGAATTGAGGTAGGCCACCATATTTCAACTAGGATTGTAGTCCTAAATAATCAGGGACAACCTCCAGTTGGTACTACTTGATCATTTTTCCTAACTTCCAACTCGAAATCGATTATATGTATATGGCTTATAGAGATTGGTGAGTCTCACTATCCCTCGACGTCAATGTAAGAAGCGGTGAAATTGTGTATGGATGAAAAAAAATGTGTGTGTGTACAAAAGTGCTCCCCAAGCGTAGAGAGACTTGCAATGTTGTGTTTCACTTAGATTAAGTATTCCAAGGTCGTCTCCTCAGGGAAAGCAAGGTTGGGTGTTTGAAGAGTGATTTGTGAAAAAATAAAAATTGGAAAATCTTGTGATTTGAAGTTTGGTGTGTTGTGAGTTAAAAAATATGCAAGAAAGCAAGGTTGACTAATCTATAGAGGTCATTACAATGGAAATGCCAAAATCGACTCATTTCATTCAACTAACGGTTTCATGGTGTTTGATTGATTCGTAGGAAGTGAGTGACTAATGTAGTTATGTTGGGCAAGGGCATACTGCATGACAAGTCTACGGTGTATCAAAAGCCCCACAACCATGTCTGCACTCAATCTAATCAAACCAAACACTTTACACAACAAGGAAGAATGGAAGAGAGTCGATTTCACATGCCCAAGGGCAAATCTCTCTCGGATTAGCCAACAAAAAGTTCAACTATGCATGATAAAAGAAAGAACAATCATGAAGTAGAGAAACATGGTAGTGACATCAGGCATGTACTTGTATTAATGTAAGAATGAGGTTTAAACTACAAGAGAAAAACTATTCATACCCAAAATGTAAAGATTGAAGGAAATAGAACCCAAATGTAGAAATTAACCACAAGAAAACTTATGTAAACTTCATTACAACTTGATTAAAATAGATTAAAGTGCAAAATGGAAAGATTACATGTGAAATGGAGCTTACTACAATGAAAATGGTGAAGGAAATGTAAAACCCAACTATATCTCTGTAGAACTTGATATTCTTCCTTGGACCTTCTCTCTCTAAAAATGCATGAAACCAGCCTCTAATTTTGTCCATCCCCCTCTCTCTTAGCATGAGTGGCTGACTTGGAGTTATTGGAGAGAGATTATCCACAAAAGTTTCCAAAATCAGTCAAAGTGTGGTCCTCCCATGCTTTCCAACCACTACCTCTCTTTCCCTTGGCTCCCCCCTCCTTCATGCTTCAAATCTGAATTTAGGGGTTAGGTGATTCGCACTTTTTTCGTGATCGGATTAATATTATACGCCCAAGTATAAGTGGTCGAATTATAGTTTTCTCGGTTTTAAGTCCAAGTATCGATCGACGAAGAGTGTGTGTAATTAGGAAATAAAATAAAAATAGTAAAGTTGTTTCTCTTAGATAGGACAGTGATTAACCCTAATTAGTGCGTAAACTATAATGATTAAATAATCAACTTTGTAAGATAAAACAACTAAAAATTATCAATTAGGAGTAATTATAATTTGTGTGGAAATTAAAGTTTTAAATACTTTATGTTTAAATTTCAGGGTCTAATGCAGAGATACTGGAGAGAACGTGGCAATTTCGCAAAACTTGAAACAACAAAGGAGCAAAGTATAATATAGACACATTGGCCATCTAGCACGCGAC